AAAAACAAAACAAAACAAGCACTTCAAAGTTACAGTTTGCACCTTTATTCAAGTATATCACAGCAGTTTATTTGAGAAATACAGTAAATGTTCCATTTTTCAAATATAACTTACACTAAAGTAACAATTGCGAACAGGTGTGTTAGATACACAAACAGAACTGACAAAGCTATGAAAAGTCTAAATTAACTGAAAGAGAGGGAAGAAAATAATTCAGGATAGAACAAGCCTTTTTCCTTCTGCATACTGGACTAAGTTGTCTCCACTACCAGACAAAAATTGGTTGTTAGTCCAAACTGGCAACAATTTATGATTAAAAAAAAGAAAAAGCACAATGTATGACATTTGATTACCCATATTTTATACCCCATGGTTTTTCTTTTAAATCCGTAAAAAATAACTCTTGGCAGAAACTGGAGACAAAGTGAACATCATTAACAGAAAGTTGATCTGGTCCTTTTCCTCATAACTGTTTTAAATATTCTAATGCTAGCCTCTTCCAGTATGCCACAGTCTGTAACCACTTTCAACAAAGAAAACATCAGAACAATGAAATAAATAGAAAAGCTGAAAGGGCAAGTTGTCACGTGTTGAAACCTGAGAGACCTGTAAACCCTTTATTCCCCCGTACACGCCAAATAAACCTGCTACACAAACGCTACGCAATTCAGCAAAATCGTTCAAATGGACGCGCAACGCTTTCCGATTCAGACGTACAAAAAGACTGAATGTACTGAATATCAGGTGTAAAACATATTTAATAATAAATATCCAGAATCATGAGATGAAAATAAAACAAAACAAAAGACCCGAACACAGTTGGAACACTTGGGAGTAAAAGGCGATGGGTGTGTAAAGAGGCAGAAAATGCTCTCTATAGCTTTTAAGAAGGTATTGGGTGATAACAGGAGCAGATCTGGGACGTCTCCTCAGTGTCAAAGTACGTAAAGTAATCAAAGACAACCTGAAACTAAAGCATCAAATATACAGTCCATGAAATATCCGTAAAATTTATGCAATCATCATCTGGCTCAAATGCAAACATACGTATATAACAATCAGAGAGATATAAACAACTCTTGGATTACTGCAGCAGCCGTGGTTGCGCTGATCTGGTACCTAAGGTGGTACTGTGGATGTTGCAACAGTATTTTGAGTGGGAAGAAAAAAGAAATACTGTTTTTGTACCCAGTAAACAGTTTTCGCTTTAAAATAAATTAAGCTGAGGTAGCATTGGTTTTTTATTCCCCTCTGCAGTAGTCCAAGTGCTAACCTGCCATTGCCAGTTTGCATACGCTCGTTAGATTTTTTTGCCACCTTGAATCGGAGAAAAGGCAGAGGTGAGCTGGGGTTAGAGTTGCACCGAGAGGTTTGAGGACCGGACGAGAGAGTGCACTGAGAGAGATGAAGAAAGACGACGGGGGTAGAGGGGTAGGGGAGTGGGGGGCGGGCTTCTTCAGTCTACACCTGTTCAAAATATGGCATCTTCAAAACACACACAGAGAAAAGAAGAAGAAAAATGCCACCTTATAAAGCTTCTGTAAGTATCTTGATTTACTACAGTCGGGAAAACATATTCTGTGTCGGCCACAGGTGAAAATCCAGTTTCGCTTGTCTGACGTTGAAAGAGAAGAGAGCAGAACAGATCCATAAAGTACACGTAAAACAGAAACAAGTAATGCTTTTTACACACTTTAGTGACGGGCACTGCCTAGAATGGCCTTTGTTCAGTGTGGATTCACAACACATGTAAAAACAATTCAAGCAAAGCGTTTTTATAAAAAAAAAA